TCATTAATTATTTCAAATATGAAAGTTACAAGTTTTCAAAATATTCTTAGTATATCAGTCTGATAGATGCATAACCAACCTTAGAGAATGAATGAATTGCAAAAATACATGACATTTATAATTTTTAGTAAAAAATCTTATATTTTATCCACTTTCATGTTTTATGTATATCTTTGTTTTTCTAAATATTAGAACCTATAAAAGAAAATATGGAGCTTTTGTGGTATAGTGGTTAAAGCATAGGGCTTCTAGCACAAAACTTGGTGGTTCTAACCCATCAGCCACTAGTTGGGAGAAAGATGAGGCAATATGCTTCCATAAGAGATTTACAGCCTTGGAAACCCTATGGGGCATTTCCATTTTGTCCTATAGTGTTGCTATGTGTCAAAATCAACTCTATGGCAGTGGGTTTGGTTTTTTTGGGTATGAAAGAAAATGCCTATTTTTTGACACCCATTTCTTCTATATCCAGGCAGAATCAATTACAAAAGAATTAAGAGAAAACAGCTTGTTAAATCAGCATGTATGTTCAGTAATGAGAAGTTTTGGGGCCCGGACCTTCCAAGCAATGTAAGTTTTTGTTATGTATGTATGTATGTATGTATCTATCTATCTATCTGTGTATTGAAGAATCTGTGATTTTCAGGACTACCACCTTATAAGTTGAAACCATTTTTCTGATTATAGGGAATCAGGTCTTCTTTGATGATGACTAATGTGATTAGACTCATTGAAACTTAGAATTTGAAGGTATCTAACATCTCCTGTTTGCTATTTAACACTTGCTAAGTGTTAAATAAAGCCTGGTTTAAGATAATACTCAGAAAATATTTTTAAGGTTTATACTATTTACCAACTTTTCTAGATACTCTTATGATGTTCTGGACTCCAATCAAATTATACCTCATCATTAGATGTTTTCCTATCCTTCACTAACCATCATTCAATACTATTAACTTTACTGTAACTTTACATTTAGAAATCTTTTCTATTAATTCTGCTTCCCAATTTACTACAAAGTTCATTATGTCAACCAGTGTTTCCTATGAAAACATTCACTTGAGACAATAATATTAGAATCAAGTGTCCTTTGGGGGAAAAAATCATTTTTGAGAAACTAGCACTTATTTTCCTGTTTGATGACAGCAACGTAACCTGTTGTTTTCTTCTCCTGGCTGCTGGAAAGCTCAGGGGGCAAATCTGGAGCTTTCCAATTGACCATATCAGCTCTTCCACTTACCAGATTTATTTTCTCCCCTTTCCTTGATTCTCTATCTCTCTAGTCTATCTATTATCTATCATTCAGCCATCTACTCATCCATCATCTCTCTATCTCTCCTTGTTAGGATGAAGAGGAATTTTACAAAAACAACAACAAAAAAAAAGTAAAAGAAAAATCAAACAAGTCACCTAGTTATCTAGGTTAACCTTTTCATTTTACACATGAGTAAACTAAGGCCCACAAAGCTAAAACAATGTGCCGAAGACAACATATCCGGTCATTAGAACTCAGTTTTTCTAGTCTTCTGCTATGATTTATTTCCATTACGCATGTCCTTCTACTATGCAACACTGAGATCATATATAAGAATCAGAATTATGAATGGTGTAGAGGTGTGCTGTTTAATATGGCACCTACTAGCCACATGTGTTGCCTGAGCATTTGGCATGTGGTTAATGCAACTGAGGAATTCTGCTGTAAACGTAAAATATACATCAAATTTCAAAGATTTCCCTGAGAAAAAGAGCATATCTCATTAATAGGCTTTTATGTTGATTATATTTTGAAATGATACAATTTTTGATGTATTGGGTTAAATAAAATGTATTATTGCAGTGAATTTAATCTGC